CCATTTCTTTTAAAAATTACTCCAATTTGACACCAAAGTTTTTTCATTGGTGGATTTAATGTATGGTTGACCCAAAAATGTTGAATTGGCAAGATCACATGAACGAAAAAAAATGATGCAACTTAACCGTTTGTTTGGTAAGAATGAAAATGGGATGGATAGAAAATGGCGAATAAAGATTTGATGGAAATGGAATGGAAAAGCAGGTGGAAAGCTCATCCCTTCCGCCCGCCATTTTGTATCCCGTCCGGAACTGTGCAGAACTTGGGACTCATTGTATAAATATAATTACCTTTATACCCTTCACTATTTGCTATATCTACTCCTGGATTTTTCTAGAAACACAACACATGACAAATTTTGAAATAAATAGCTATTTTGACCATTTTATGTAGCAGTCCATATTTATTCTTCTATTGACTATTCTCAAACTGTAATCTTATTGAAAATTTACTTGGATTGAAAAAATTATTTTTTATATACAACGGTATAATAGTAAATCAAATATCCATGTTTTATCCCTTCCATTCTTTTTTCTTTTGATACCAAACGATGAAAAAATTTTCATTTAATTTTTCATTCATCGTACCAAACAACAATGAGAGAAACTATATATCCTTCCTTCATAGATGAAATATCAATTTTTTTTTTTTTTTCTATCTTTCATATTTTTCATCACTCTTATCAAACACGTCATAAGATTGACCTCCAACCCCGCCCCCTCAACCACCCATAAATATAAATAATTTGTGATTGATAAAAATACTGAAATTAAAAATAAAATTAGTGACTGCAGCGAACCAAATTGATATACTTGTGATGGCACATCCATCACAAGTGGTCTGGACATCATGTCCAGGCCATCTCACATAAAACAATTTATGAAAAAAACTATGATGCACCATTTAATAATATATATGCTAATTTATATGCATAATTGTATACATATGTGTGTATGTACATAGATAGAATATGTTATTTATTGTAAAATGTATATATAATAATTCTATTTTTTGCAATATAATAACTAAACATGTTTACATTTGTTTGACTGCATTTTTTTATTTAAATTAAATGATTAAACAACATTATCAAATAATACATTACTTTCTGAAGGGTAATTAAAGACATAATCAAATGATTCATCACTTTCTCGAAGGTAGATGAAGTCTTGGAAAAAAAAAAGTAGAAGGCTACGATACCGTGGCAAAATTGATTTGGAGCCGTTGATTTTTATTTTTTTTTGGGTAACAGGGGAAGTCTCTGGTTTACTCTGGTGAATAAAGACATGTTTGTCGCTCAACTGGATATGTCCGAATAAAACCAATGCCAAACTTTGAGGGCTTGAACCGGACACTCAATTTATACATCAATTAAATTAGATTTTGTATTTCAATAAAGATTTAAACTCGCACTATATATTTAGATACGGTTCGTCTAAACAAGTCTAACCTACCAACCAAACATACTTTTTTCACTTAGAAAATTTGAACTCTTAACCTTAAAACGGAAAAACCTTCACAAAATAAGAATATCATTAGTCCAAAACCCCTTTAGTTGATTTTAGTTTTCATGATTTATAACCATTGATACAAAGAACAATAAAGTAATAAAAATAATAAAATCAAAAATTTTATGTATGATATAATTGAATAAAAAGTACAAGTACGGTACTAAAAAATAAATTTTATTACCATAACTAGCATACGTATCTAGTGTACGACGTTCTTGTAATTACAGAATTTTAAGAGAGTTAGATATATATAATCTTATCTCTACAAGTAAAAAGACTGTTTTCAAAATTTAAAACCGTGACGTATGTGTCACAATAAAACAACCATATTATAATTGGACCTAGACAAAAAAATGAAAATATAGATCATACAACTTGCCGAGCAATTTGACAATTTGTAGGCTGCTGACCCCTAGAAATTGTCCAAGTTGGGGGTCCCACACTACATATATCCATATTTCATTCCCATTAGGGATGATGTTTTCTGGTCCTATCTCTACAATAATACTAACCACCAAACTTGTGGATTGGGCTTATCACTCCACTAAACGCTTCAATTACTTACATCAGCAGCTGTAGCCTATAAGTAGGTGGGTGGTCTCTTTCAACCATTGTCAATCCAACAGAGACAGCACATGAGACATCGGCCATACAAGTTCCCAATAGTAGGATAATCCACAACTAGGGTTTCTTTCACCAGAAAAAGCTGTTGATAAAGTTTGTGCCTTTTTATGGTTCATAGTGAGAATGACCTAGAACATGACAGTTCATGGATGGTCCAATAGCCCAAGGGATCGGGTCATGGACCTTGTGTTTTGGCCTTCCAGGCCCCGCAAATTTGCCCCCTAATTAAAGTATGTTGTCCGGTCCATTGGCCCTATAATATTCAAAAAATATAGATAAATAATAGATCACATTTGAACAAATATGAAAGGGGATTTGGAGACCATTCCTTATTTTATGATTTTTGTGGCTTTTAAGTCCATTCTCAAAATTTTGTTAGGTTTAAGGATATTTGTGTATCAATTATCCAAAATACCCCTAACTCCTTCTTTCCGTTACAGAACAAAACAAATAAAAGTTGATTTTATCGAAATTCAAGCTGGAATGTAAGTGAAAAATAATAATATTTAAAACAAAAAACAATAACATTAANTGGTTTGGGAAAAATTAAGTTGGATCAAGACTTACTATGGATTATCGGGTAGTTGAAACATCTAACGAGTGATCAAAATTTAGATTGAATTTGACAAAACAAAAATGTTTGATGAGTGGAGAACAAGTAGATAAAACGATATAAGTTTTTGTGCTCGTATTTGAAAATGATTTTGTTTCTTGGAATTTTACCTCCAATGTTATTAATATGAAATGAATGAAATTTAAGAATTTCGATTTTTATTTAATTTATTTTTTGTATACTATTATTTATTTTTTGGACTTGATTTTTATCGATTTATTTTTTGGTTCAAACTATAAGTTTGGATACGATTCCTAGTAGTGTTGATAATTTTCCTTTTGGGTTCACACGTGTTCAACAATTTTAGATAGTTTTAGGTTTTAGTTTCTTTTTGTGAACCTATTTTTTGATGAATTTTTTTCTAATTTTTTAAAATTTAAAGGGGTTCAACTTCTTTCAATAAATTCTCATTTTTTTTCTAATTATAAATTTTCTTACACAGAATCTTTAGGCGTAATCGCAATCATAAAAAAATGTTATTATTTATTTTTAGTCAATATGAATATTTTGACCAAAGTTGATTCCATTCCAATGAAAAAAAATGTTTTATCCAAATATAAGAATGAAATAATCATACTATTCTAATACTTAATTCTAAACAGTTATCAAACATTGGAATAATAATACGTATTCCATTCCATTTATAAGTTCATTCAATTCCCAAACTCATTTCATTCCTACTAAAAAGTATTACTGCGTACCAAACGCAGCGTTAAGAGTGTAAAATATGACACAACTCATTAATAATTTAATACGACACAAAACTTAATAATCGAGTGGACTCAAACTTCCTTAAATCACCTATTTATTAAATGAGTGGATTCAATATGACACGATTAATAAATGAATTAAAAATGGGTGAAACTAATCAGAAGAAATATATGATATGACTCGTTTGTATATTAGTTATATACGGATCATATATGACACGAATTTAATATGACATATTTCGTTAGACATGAATTAATAAAAAAATCAAGTATAACTGAAGTGTTTTTTTGATACAAACCTAAAAAAAATTCGATAGGAACTAATCTCATCCGACACCATTTACATGCTACGATACTAATAAAGTAAATCCAAATAAGAAAAATTATACATATTACCTGATTTTTACTTAACAACCCAAAAAAAGGAACCACCCAAACCCACCCCCACATGCACACCTTCGTGCAGATGTTCAAACTTTAAAAATTATCATCAATAGATAGGCAGGTCAATCGTGTCGTGTCGTGTCGTGTCGTATCGGTTTTATGTCGTGTTATTCGATCGTGTTATTTTTGTATCGTATCATTTTTAGTACGTGTCGGATTCGTGTCAATATTTATGTTAATAAAAAATTATTTAATTTGAGAACAATTAATATAATATTATTTTAAAAATTATAAAATTCTTATATTTTATCTAAAATACTCATTAAATAATTATTTTTTATTTATAGTACCTATTAATCTTGTTATTCGTATTAAACTTTAATTTGACTTATTTATTACTCGTGTCGACGGATCGTGTTATTTTTGGATTCAGGTCGAATTTGGTTGGAGTCGGATTCGTGTTTCAGCCAAAAATTGACACCCCTGAATAGACATGTCCATTGCTCCAGCACCCTCCATCTCTGCAATTCCTAAATGTCTTTACATGCACAGATCAATCCATTCATATAAATTTGTTATACAAACTTGACGTTGCAAAAGAATGCCAACTATTATTCCAAGAACTGCAATACAAAAGGCTAATAAATTCCCACACTCTCTCTCTTCTTTCTTTACGAACCCACCTCGGATTTCCTCCTCAAATTCCGAACCCAGAAAATCTGGTTCAAGAAAGAATGTTACTGGTCTTCCGAACCGGTTCGAATGTTACGTGAGGGATCAGTGTAAATCAGGTAACATTAAGCTCAAAGATGCAGTAAAGTACATCGACGAAATGGTTCAAATGCAACCCTGACCGTCAATCGGTACATTTAATCATATTTTAGGCTCTACCTCCAAACTTAAATGCTATTTTGATGTATTTTTATTGTATAGGAAAATGGGTTTGGTAGGAATTGAGCCTGCCCTGTGTACTCTGAATATTTTAATTAATTGTTGCTGTCATTTGGGTGAAATAAATGCTGGGTTTTGTGTATTTGGCATAATGTTGAGGAGGGGTTTGAAAGCAAATTCAGTTACATTGTGTACTTTTGTTAAAGGTANTAATTGTTGCTGTCATTTGGGTGAAATAAATGCTGGGTTTTGTGTATTTGGCATAATGTTGAGGAGGGGTTTGAAAGCAAATTCAGTTACATTGCGTACTTTTGTTAAAGGTATGTGTAAGGAGGGGAAGGTTTTGAGTGCAGTTCAGTTGCTTGATAAAATGACTGAAGAGAAAGTTGAAGTAAAGGTGCTCACATATGGGATTCTTATAAATGGCCTCTGTGAAATTCGAGAGACTGGTCTTGCTATTGAATTGCATAGGAAGATGGTGCAAAGAACTTGTGAATCTAATGTCCTCACTTATAGCATGATCATTGATTCTCTTGGTAAAGATGGGTTGATGAATGAGGCACTTGATTTTTTCTCCGACATGATTCATGAAGGTGTTACCCCGGATGTCATTGTTTACAGTTGTTTAATTCACGGTTTGTGTAATTCCGGCCGGTTGAAAGAAGCTGTGAGGCTTTTTGATGAAATGGTTGGCCAAGGGATTTCGGCCAATGTAGTTACATATAATTCTTTGATTTATGGTTTTTGTCAGCTGGATTTGTGGAAGGAAGCTACAAGAATTTTTGATAAAATGGTTGGACAAGGGATTTCACCAGATGTTATAACATTTATGATATTAATAGATTGTCTCTGTAAAAGGGGGATGGTGGGAGAAGCTAGGATGGTGTTTGACATGATGATTCGGATAGGCAAGAAGCCTAATGAATTTACGTATAATTTGCTGATTTATGGATTATGTTTGACAGGGAGCTTGGATGGTGCAGCAGAGCTGTTTAAGTCAATGGAACACAGAGGTCTTGAACAGGATGTTACTGGCTACAGTACATTGATTAATGGGTATTGTAAAGGTCGGGCAATTGATGAAGCTATGTGCCTCTTTCAGGAAATGCATGAAAAGGGGCTGAAGCCCACCACTGTAACTTACAACACACTAATAGGAGAACTCTGCCAGGCAGGTAGAGTTAAAACCGCAAAGGGCCTATTCAATGAGATGCAAACTTGTGGGTTATCTCCAGATTTGCATNATGCAATAATATTGGTTTGGGAAAAATTAAGTTGGATCAAGACTTACTATGGATTATCGGGTAGTTGAAACATCTAACGAGTGGTCAAAATTTAGATTGAATTTGACAAAACAAAAATGTTTGATGAGTGGAGAACAAGTAGATAAAACGATATAAGTTTTTGTGCTCGTATTTGAAAATGATTTTGTTTCTTGGAATTTTACCTCCAATGTTATTAATATGAAATGAATGAAATTTAAGAATTTCTGTTTTTATTTAATTTATTTTTTGTATACTATTATTTATTTTTTGGACTTGATTTTTATCGATTTATTTTTTGGTTCAAACTATAAGTTTGGATACGATTCCTAGTAGTGTTGATAATTTTCCTTTTGGGTTCACACGTGTTCAACAATTTTAGATAGTTTTAGGTTTTAGTTTCTTTTTGTGAACCTATTTTTTGATGAATTTTTTTCTAATTTTTTAAAATTTAAAGGGGTTCAACTTCTTTCAATAAATTCTCATTNGAATAGACATGTCCATTGCTCCAGCACCCTCCATCTCTGCAATTCCTAAATGTCTTTACATGCACAGATCAATCCATTCATATAAATTTGTTATACAAACTTGACGTTGCAAAAGAATGCCAACTATTATTCCAAGAACTGCAATACAAAAGGCTAATAAATTCCCACACTCTCTCTCTTCTTTCTTTACGAACCCACCTCGGATTTCCTCCTCAAATTCCGAACCCAGAAAATCTGGTTCAAGAAAGAATGTTACTGGTCTTCCGAACCGGTTCGAATGTTACGTGAGGGATCAGTGTAAATCAGGTAACATTAAGCTCAAAGATGCAGTAAAGTACATCGACGAAATGGTTCAAATGCAACCCTGACCGTCAATCGGTACATTTAATCATATTTTAGGCTCTACCTCCAAACTTAAATGCTATTTTGATGTATTTTTATTGTATAGGAAAATGGGTTTGGTAGGAATTGAGCCTGCCCTGTGTACTCTGAATATTTTAATTAATTGTTGCTGTCATTTGGGTGAAATAAATGCTGGGTTTTGTGTATTTGGCATAATGTTGAGGAGGGGTTTGAAAGCAAATTCAGTTACATTGCGTACTTTTGTTAAAGGTATGTGTAAGGAGGGGAAGGTTTTGAGTGCAGTTCAGTTGCTTGATAAAATGACTGAAGAGAAAGTTGAAGTAAAGGTGCTCACATATGGGATTCTTATAAATGGCCTCTGTGAAATTCGAGAGACTGGTCTTGCTATTGAATTGCATAGGAAGATGGTGCAAAGAACTTGTGAATCTAATGTCCTCACTTATAGCATGATCATTGATTCTCTTGGTAAAGATGGGTTGATGAATGAGGCACTTGATTTTTTCTCCGACATGATTCATGAAGGTGTTACCCCGGATGTCATTGTTTACAGTTGTTTAATTCACGGTTTGTGTAATTCCGGCCGGTTGAAAGAAGCTGTGAGGCTTTTTGATGAAATGGTTGGCCAAGGGATTTCGGCCAATGTAGTTACATATAATTCTTTGATTTATGGTTTTTGTCAGCTGGATTTGTGGAAGGAAGCTACAAGAATTTTTGATAAAATGGTTGGACAAGGGATTTCACCAGATGTTATAACATTTATGATATTAATAGATTGTCTCTGTAAAAGGGGGATGGTGGGAGAAGCTAGGATGGTGTTTGACATGATGATTCGGATAGGCAAGAAGCCTAATGAATTTACGTATAATTTGCTGATTTATGGATTATGTTTGACAGGGAGCTTGGATGGTGCAGCAGAGCTGTTTAAGTCAATGGAACACAGAGGTCTTGAACAGGATGTTACTGGCTACAGTACATTGATTAATGGGTATTGTAAAGGTCGGGCAATTGATGAAGCTATGTGCCTCTTTCAGGAAATGCATGAAAAGGGGCTGAAGCCCACCACTGTAACTTACAACACACTAATAGGAGAACTCTGCCAGGCAGGTAGAGTTAAAACCGCAAAGGGCCTATTCAATGAGATGCAAACTTGTGGGTTATCTCCAGATTTGCATTCATATTCTATACTGTTAAATGGGCTCTGCAAAAATGGACAGCTCGAAGAGGCAATGGATGTATTTAGGTCTATTAAGAGTGCTGGGCTTGAAGCTAATATTGAAGTTTTCAGCACACTCATTGATGGGATGTGCAGAGTTGGTAAAATAGCAGCAGCGAAGGATCAGTTTGATGAAATCTTGAAGAAAGGTATGGTGCCTGATGTTGTAACATATAACATAATGATCAATGGCCTCTGCAGGAATGAGATGTTGCCGGAGGCCTGTAAATTGCTCTTGCGGATGGAAGAGGAGGGTTGCTTCCCAGATGCCATTTCATTTAACATCATCATTCGACATTTTCTCCAAGAAAATGAGATCACCAAAGCAATGCAGTTCTTTAAGGAGATGCGTAATAAAAATTTCTTGCCTAATGAAGCAGTCAGTTCGACATTACTACACCATGTGTTGGTGAATAAACAATGTCGAACAGCCCTCGAGTCACTTCCTAATTCTCTTCAGAAAAATTTGTGATTGTTTCCTCTGAAACTTATACAATGTGGGGTACAACAAGCAATGCACTAAGTTTTTCATCTTTGGATGGTCGATGCTTTCGACATCTGCTATTTTGTCTACCTAAATCTCATGGAACAAACAGTGATTGCAGTTTGATGCACCAACCAGTGGAGTGTTTGAAGAGTTATGGGACACTGTTATCTATGGCTTGCTGGATTTTTGCAAAGAAAAACTGGGTATGCTGCAATGGGTCTGCGTTCATGCCTTGTTCATCTATACTAACTTGCCTAAAGTAATTGGCTATGGATATTCTTAGATTGAGTGGTACTTTTACCAGATTGCTATGCTGCACTGTCTTTGTGACTGGTTTCTTTGCACTTTTTGATTCCCTTTTGGATTGCTCCATCAGATAGTTTCTGTAGCCTTTTAAGTTGCATTTTGGCTGTGTTTTTTACCCTTTATTTGTATATTCATGCAAATAATAATGATGTGCATCCCAAAATTACTAGTTTGGATAAGTTTCCTAGATGTGTTGATAATTTTTTTTTTGGGTTTGCACGTGTTCAATTGAATTCACAAAAAACTATAGTTTGTTCATTTGACACGAGTGACCAATTTTAGATAGTTTTAGGTTTTGGTTTCTTTTTGTGAACCTATTTTTTGAGGATTTTTTTCTTAATTTTTTAAAATTTAAAGGGGTTCAACTTCTTTTAATGGATTCTCATTTTTTTTCTAATTATAAATTTTCTTACACAGAATCTTTAGGCGTAATCGCAATCATAAAAAAATGTTATTATTTATTTTTAGTCAATATGAATATTTTGACCAAAGTTGATTCCATTCCAATGAAAAAAAATGTTTTATCCAAATATAAGAATGAAATAATCATACTATTCTAATACTTAATTCTAAACAGTTATCAAACATTGGAATAATAATACGTATTCCATTCCATTTCTAAGTTCATTCAATTCCCAAACTCATTTCATTCCTACTAAAAAGTATTACTGCGTACCAAACGCAGCGTTAAGAGTGTAAAATATGACACAACTCATTAATAATTTAATACGACACAAAACTTAATAATCGAGTGGACTCAAACTTCCTTAAATCACCTATTTATTAAATGAGTGGATTCAATATGACACGATTAATAAATGAATTAAAAATGGGTGAAACTAATCAGAAGAAATATATGATATGACTCGTTTGTATATTAGTTATATACGGATCATATATGACACGAATTTAATATGACATATTTCGTTAGACATGAATTAATAAAAAAATCAAGTATAACTGAAGTGTTTTTTTGATACAAACCTAAAAAAAATTCGATAGGAACTAATCTCATCCGACACCATTTACATGCTACGATACTAATAAAGTAAATCCAAATAAGAAAAATTATACATATTACCTGATTTTTACTTAACAACCCAAAAAAAGGAACCACCCAAACCCACCCCCACATGCACACCTTCGTGCAGATGTTCAAACTTTAAAAATTATCATCAATAGATAGGCAGGTCAATCGTGTCGTGTCGTGTCGTGTCGTATCGGTTTTATGTCGTGTTATTCGATCGTGTTATTTTTGTATCGTATCATTTTTAGTACGTGTCGGATTCGTGTCAATATTTATGTTAATAAAAAATTATTTAATTTGAGAACAATTAATATAATATTATTTTAAAAATTATAAAATTCTTATATTTTATCTAAAATACTCATTAAATAATTATTTTTTATTTATAGTACCTATTAATCTTGTTATTCGTATTAAACTTTAATTTGACTTATTTATTACTCGTGTCGACGGATCGTGTTATTTTTGGATTCAGGTCGAATTTGGTTGGAGTCGGATTCGTGTTTCAGCCAAAAATTGACACCCCTGAATAGACATGTCCATTGCTCCAGCACCCTCCATCTCTGCAATTCCTAAATGTCTTTACATGCACAGATCAATCCATTCATATAAATTTGTTATACAAACTTGACGTTGCAAAAGAATGCCAACTATTATTCCAAGAACTGCAATACAAAAGGCTAATAAATTCCCACACTCTCTCTCTTCTTTCTTTACGAACCCACCTCGGATTTCCTCCTCAAATTCCGAACCCAGAAAATCTGGTTCAAGAAAGAATGTTACTGGTCTTCCGAACCGGTTCGAATGTTACGTGAGGGATCAGTGTAAATCAGGTAACATTAAGCTCAAAGATGCAGTAAAGTACATCGACGAAATGGTTCAAATGCAACCCTGACCGTCAATCGGTACATTTAATCATATTTTAGGCTCTACCTCCAAACTTAAATGCTATTTTGATGTATTTTTATTGTATAGGAAAATGGGTTTGGTAGGAATTGAGCCTGCCCTGTGTACTCTGAATATTTTAATTAATTGTTGCTGTCATTTGGGTGAAATAAATGCTGGGTTTTGTGTATTTGGCATAATGTTGAGGAGGGGTTTGAAAGCAAATTCAGTTACATTGCGTACTTTTGTTAAAGGTATGTGTAAGGAGGGGAAGGTTTTGAGTGCAGTTCAGTTGCTTGATAAAATGACTGAAGAGAAAGTTGAAGTAAAGGTGCTCACATATGGGATTCTTATAAATGGCCTCTGTGAAATTCGAGAGACTGGTCTTGCTATTGAATTGCATAGGAAGATGGTGCAAAGAACTTGTGAATCTAATGTCCTCACTTATAGCATGATCATTGATTCTCTTGGTAAAGATGGGTTGATGAATGAGGCACTTGATTTTTTCTCCGACATGATTCATGAAGGTGTTACCCCGGATGTCATTGTTTACAGTTGTTTAATTCACGGTTTGTGTAATTCCGGCCGGTTGAAAGAAGCTGTGAGGCTTTTTGATGAAATGGTTGGCCAAGGGATTTCGGCCAATGTAGTTACATATAATTCTTTGATTTATGGTTTTTGTCAGCTGGATTTGTGGAAGGAAGCTACAAGAATTTTTGATAAAATGGTTGGACAAGGGATTTCACCAGATGTTATAACATTTATGATATTAATAGATTGTCTCTGTAAAAGGGGGATGGTGGGAGAAGCTAGGATGGTGTTTGACATGATGATTCGGATAGGCAAGAAGCCTAATGAATTTACGTATAATTTGCTGATTTATGGATTATGTTTGACAGGGAGCTTGGATGGTGCAGCAGAGCTGTTTAAGTCAATGGAACACAGAGGTCTTGAACAGGATGTTACTGGCTACAGTACATTGATTAATGGGTATTGTAAAGGTCGGGCAATTGATGAAGCTATGTGCCTCTTTCAGGAAATGCATGAAAAGGGGCTGAAGCCCACCACTGTAACTTACAACACACTAATAGGAGAACTCTGCCAGGCAGGTAGAGTTAAAACCGCAAAGGGCCTATTCAATGAGATGCAAACTTGTGGGTTATCTCCAGATTTGCATTCATATTCTATACTGTTAAATGGGCTCTGCAAAAATGGACAGCTCGAAGAGGCAATGGATGTATTTAGGTCTATTAAGAGTGCTGGGCTTGAAGCTAATATTGAAGTTTTCAGCACACTCATTGATGGGATGTGCAGAGTTGGTAAAATAGCAGCAGCGAAGGATCAGTTTGATGAAATCTTGAAGAAAGGTATGGTGCCTGATGTTGTAACATATAACATAATGATCAATGGCCTCTGCAGGAATGAGATGTTGCCGGAGGCCAGTAAATTGCTCTTGCGGATGGAAGAGGAGGGTTGCTTCCCAGATGCCATTTCATTTAACATCATCATTTGNGAATAATCATACTATTCCAGTACTTAATTCTAAACAGTTATCAAACATTGGAATAATAATACGCATTCCATTCCATTTATAAGTTCATTCAATTCTCAAACTCATTTCATTCCTACTAAAAAGTATTACTGCGTACCAAACGCAGCGTTAAGAGTGTAAAATATGACACAACTCATTAATAATTTAATACGACACAAAACTTAATAATCGAGTGGACTCAAACTTCCTTAAATCACCTATTTATTAAATGAGTGGATTCAATATGACACGATTAATAAATGAATTAAAAATGGGTGAAACTAATCAGAAGAAATATATGATATGACTCGTTTGTATATTAGTTATATACGGATCATATATGACACGAATTTAATATGACATATTTCGTTAGACATGAATTAATAAAAAAATCAAGTATAACTGAAGTGTTTTTTTGANATATGACACAACTCATTAATAATTTAATACGACACGAAACTTAATAATCGAGTGGACTCAAACTTCTTTAAATCACCTATTTATTAAATGAGTGGATTCAATATGACACGATTAATAAATGAATCAGGAACGAGTGAAACTAATCAGAAGAAATATATGATATGATTAGTTTGTATATTAGTTATATACGGATCATATATGACTCGTTAGACATAAATTAATAAACAAATCAAGTATAACTGAAGTTTTTTTTAATACAAACCTAAAAAAAATTCGATAGGAACTAATCTCATCCGACACCATTTACATGCTACGATACTAATAAAGTAAATCCAAATAAGAAAAATTATACATATTACCTGATTTTAACTTAACAACCCAAAAAAAGGAACCACCCAAACCCACCCCCACATGCACACCTTCGTGCAGATGTTCAAACTTTAAAAATTATCATCAATAGATAGGGAGGTCAATCGTGTCGTGTCGTATCGTATCGATTTTATATCGTGTCATTTTCGATTGTGTTATTTTTGTATCGTATCATTTTTAGTACGTATCAGATTCGTGTCAATATTTATGTTAATAAAAAATTATTTAATTTGAGAACAATTAATATAATATTATTTTAAAAATTATAAAATTCTTATATTTTATCTAAAATATTCATTAAATAATTATTTTTTATTTATAGTACCTATTAATCTTGTTATTCGTATTAAACTTTAATTTAACTTATTTATTACTCGTGTCGACAAATCGTGTTATTTTTGGATTCACGTGGAATTTGGTTGGAGTCGGATTCGTGTTTCAGCCAAAAATTGACACCCCTGAATAGACATGTCCATTGCTCCAGCACCCTCCATCTCTGCAATTCCTAAATGTCTTTACATGCACAGATCAATCCATTCATATAAATTTGTTATACAAACTTGACGTTGCAAAAGAATGCCAACTATTATTCCAAGAACTGCAATACAAAAGGCTAATAAATTCCCACACTCTCTCTCTTCTTTCTTTACGAACCCACCTCGGATTTCCTCCTCAAATTCCGAACCCAGAAAATCTGGTTCAAGAAAGAATGTTACTGGTCTTCCGAACCGGTTCGAATGTTACGTGAGGGATCAGTGTAAATCAGGTAACATTAAGCTCAAAGATGCAGTAAAGTACATCGACGAAATGGTTCAAATGCAACCCTGACCGTCAATCGGTACATTTAATCATATTTTAGGCTCTACCTCCAAACTTAAATGCTATTTTGATGTATTTTTATTGTATAGGAAAATGGGTTTGGTAGGAATTGAGCCTGCCCTGTGTACTCTGAATATTTTAATTAATTGTTGCTGTCATTTGGGTGAAATAAATGCTGGGTTTTGTGTATTTGGCATAATGTTGAGGAGGGGTTTGAAAGCAAATTCAGTTACATTGCGTACTTTTGTTAAAGGTATGTGTAAGGAGGGGAAGGTTTTGAGTGCAGTTCAGTTGCTTGATAAAATGACTGAAGAGAAAGTTGAAGTAAAGGTGCTCACATATGGGATTCTTATAAATGGCCTCTGTGAAATTCGAGAGACTGGTCTTGCTATTGAATTGCATAGGAAGATGGTGCAAAGAACTTGTGAATCTAATGTCCTCACTTATAGCATGATCATTGATTCTCTTGGTAAAGATGGGTTGATGAATGAGGCACTTGATTTTTTCTCCGACATGATTCATGAAGGTGTTACCCCGGATGTCATTGTTTACAGTTGTTTAATTCACGGTTTGTGTAATTCCGGCCGGTTGAAAGAAGCTGTGAGGCTTTTTGATGAAATGGTTGGCCAAGGGATTTCGGCCAATGTAGTTACATATAATTCTTTGATTTATGGTTTTTGTCAGCTGGATTTGTGGAAGGAAGCTACAAGAATTTTTGATAAAATGGTTGGACAAGGGATTTCACCAGATGTTATAACATTTATGATATTAATAGATTGTCTCTGTAAAAGGGGGATGGTGGGAGAAGCTAGGATGGTGTTTGACATGATGATTCGGATAGGCAAGAAGCCTAATGAATTTACGTATAATTTGCTGATTTATGGATTATGTTTGACAGGGAGCTTGGATGGTGCAGCAGAGCTGTTTAAGTCAATGGAACACAGAGGTCTTGAACAGGATGTTACTGGCTACAGTACATTGATTAATGGGTATTGTAAAGGTCGGGCAATTGATGAAGCTATGTGCCTCTTTCAGGAAATGCATGAAAAGGGGCTGAAGCCCACCACTGTAACTTACAACACACTAATAGGAGAACTCTGCCAGGCAGGTAGAGTTAAAACCGCAAAGGGCCTATTCAATGAGATGCAAACTTGTGGGTTATCTCCAGATTTGCATTCATATTCTATACTGTTAAATGGGCTCTGCAAAAATGGACAGCTCGAAGAGGCAATGGATGTATTTAGGTCTATTAAGAGTGCTGGGCTTGAAGCTAATATTGAAGTTTTCAGCACACTCATTGATGGGATGTGCAGAGTTGGTAAAATAGCAGCAGCGAAGGATCAGTTTGATGAAATCTTGAAGAAAGGTATGGTGCCTGATGTTGTAACATATAACATAATGATCAATGGCCTCTGCAGGAATGAGATGTTGCCGGAGGCCAGTAAATTGCTCTTGCGGATGGAAGAGGAGGGTTGCTTCCCAGATGCCATTTCATTTAACATCATCATTTGACATTTTCTCCAAGAAAATGAGATCACCAAAGCAATGCAGTTCTTTAAGGAGATGCGTAATAAAAATTTCTTGCCTAATGAAGCAGTCAGTTCGACATTACTACACCATGTGTTGGTGAATAAACAATGTCGAACAGCCCTCGAGTCACTTCCTAATTCTCTTCAGAAAAATTTGTGATTGTTTCCTCTGAAACTTATACAATGTGGGGTACAACAAGCAATGCACTAAGTTTTTCATCTTTGGATGGTCGATGCTTTCGACATCTGCTATTTTGTCTACCTAAATCTCATGGAACAAACAGTGATTTCAGTTTGATGCACCAACCAGTGGAGTGTTTGAAGAGTTATGGGACACTGTTATCTATGGCTTGCTGGATTTTTGCAAAGAAAAACTGGGTATGCTGCAATGGGTCTGCGTTCATGCCTTGTTCATCTATACTAACTTGCCTAAAGTAATTGGCTATGGATATTCTTAGATTGAGTGGTACTTTTACCAGATTGCTATGCTGCACTGTCTTTGTGACTGGTTTCTTTGCACTTTTTGATTCCCTTTTGGATTGCTCCATCAGATAGTTTCTGTAGCCTTTTAAGTTGCATTTTGGCTGTGTTTTTTACCCTTTATTTGTATATTCATGCAAATAATAATGATGTGCATCCCAAAATTACTAGTTTGGATAAGTTTCCTAGATGTGTTGATNACATGCACACCTTCGTGCAGATGTTCAAACTTTAAAAATTATCATCAATAGATAGGCAGGTCAATCGTGTCGTGTCGTGTCGTGTCGTATCGGTTTTATGTCGTGTTATTCGATCGTGTTATTTTTGTATCGTATCATTTTTAGTACGTGTCGGNTTTTGGGTTTGCACGTGTTCAATTGAATTCACAAAAAACTATAGTTTGTTCATTTGACACCAGTGACCAATTTTAGATAGTTTTAGGTCTTGGTTTCTTTTTGTGAACCTATTTTTTGAGGATTTTTTTCTTAATTTTTTAAAATTTAAAGGGGTTCAACTTCTTTTAATGGATTCTCATTTTTTTTCTAATTATAAATTTTCTTACACAGAACCTTTAAGTATAATCGCAATCATAAAAAAATATTATTTATTTNCAATTAATATAATATTATTTTAAAAATTATAAAATTCTTATATTTTATCTAAAATACTCATTAAATAATTATTTTTTATTTATAGTACCTATTAATCTTGTTATTCGTATTAAACTTTAATTTGACTTATTTATTACTCGTGTCGACGGATCGTGTTATTTTTGGATTCAGGTCGNATTTTTAGTCACTATAGATATTTTGATCAAAGTTGATTCTATTTTAATGAAAAAAATTGTTTTATCCAAACATAAGAATGAAATAATCATTCTATTTCAACACTTAATCTTNTTTTAGTCACTATAGATATTTTGATCAAAGTTGATTCTATTTTAATGAAAAAAATTATTTTATCCAAACATAAGAATGAAATAATCATTCTATTTCAACACTTAATCCTAAACAACTACCAAACATTGGAATGATAATGCACAGTTCAATTTATTTTTAAGTTCATTTCATTTTCAAACTCATTCTATTCCTATCGAAAAATATTGCCGCGTACCAAACGCAGCACAAGGTTGCTAAAGTTGAAACAGATGCCACTTGACCTACAGCTAACGANATGCACAGTTCAATTTATTTTTAAGTTCATTTCATTTTCAAACTCATTCTATTCCTGCCGAAAAATATTGTTGCGTTTTTCAAACTCATTCTATTCCTACCGAAAAATATTGCCGCGTACCAAACGCAGCGCAAGGTTGCTAAAGTTGAAACAGATGCCACTTGACCTACAGCTTACAACAACTTCTTGAGCTAAACCACGAGATTCAAGACATCGGGGAACTTTGAAGCTAAGAACCCGAGTTTAAGAAATGAGTCAATACGTATAAAACTCAACAATGCAAGAACCCGACTACACCAATAAAATAGGGCATGCACCCAACAATAAATAATTCCGAATGTGTCAAATATGAGTTAAGTAAATTTGACACGAAACGAATCCAATCCGACAAGAGTCTAAGACCGAGTATGGCAAGAGATACAATTTAAGAAATTCAAAATACACCAAAATTAAATCATTCATTACTAAAATCTCAATATGAATATTGCGTTCTCTCAGAACTGTAACACGGGCCTAAGGTACACCCCCTTTAGTCCTCACTTAAAAGATCTCCCCTCATCTCCGAGCAACTCGACCAACTCTTTGCCCTGCTCCAAGTAACAAGGCTTTTCCTATCACTCCTGTATGGAGTCCACAGACCACAGCCACGGTTCCACCTAGAACTAGCCATTTCCAATCAATTCCACCAGGATCCCCATGTCTTTGAACATCTTCTACAGTATCACCATTCTCTTCCTCGGCAGACACTGGCTCTGAAGAATCCCCGCTTTCATTGGATGAAATCTTCGTCGTGATTTTTGCCATGAGTGCACTTCGGGATAGCGATGCCTCTGACTTTCTTGCTTGCTCATACGCTCTGAAGCCAGCATGAAACTTCTTGACTGTTCCCCACATCCCATGGCGGACACCCAACTTTGCCACATCCTTTGGGATCCCCATATCTTCGTAATGGATGAGTGTCACCTCGCATGCAGATGAGTGCCCATCTCCTTTATGGGATTCCACTGCATCCATTTGAGAACGCAAGGATCAATATCCAATACAACTTAAGGTCAGTCATTAGTTCCATCAAAGTGTTCCAAGCATAGCCAGTGACTATCTGACATTACATACCAGGCTTAATAAGCCAGCTTGAAAAATAAAGATCCACCCGCCTAGGCTTGTCATGTCTCTGCAAACCTGGGTATGGTACCCCCTACAGCATTGCAGGTTACTTGTTAAAATTCCATAGCCCTTGTAATGCAAGTGCAAAGAGAGTACAACCAGTTGCACTACATTTTTATGAGAGGCCAAGAAGAAAGATCTAACAAACATGTAGTGCGAGACATCATGTAATGGGATAATAGGTGATAGACAACACATTAATAATCATCAGGTATACAATCATGCAGAGTTGAAGTTTTCATCAACATCTGTATAAAATAGTAAATCAATCACATTACAGTTGCTGCTGGGTTGAAATTCTGTTTGAAGTTAAGAAATTTTTACCTTAGTCACACAATAGTACGTCTTCTCAGCTTCCCATATTCTTCGACCAATTATATACTCTCGATCACTGCAGAAAAAGGGGAACTTCACAAAGGACAAAGATTACTTTAGATACTGTTGGAACAAGTAATTGATTTATACCAATGCACAAAGAATATGTTGAACAAGACCTTCTTTATCCAATGTACTATCATTGTTCCGGTATGAGGGCATTCCTCCAATATTTTGAAGTACACAAGCATAGGATCCCATTTAGGCCGAAACTCATCATCCCAGAAAAAATCTCTAACCAGCTCTGGAGTTGCATCCTCAAAGACAGTTCTACTACGGTAGACAATGGGGCCCATCTGATAAACAATATGCATTATCAGGTGTTATTGTGGCAACATTGATTACAGGAGACCTGGTTCTTTCCACTACACCAAAAACTGAGAAGGTGTAGAAGAGAAATTAAATGACAAAGATTCCAAACCAAGTGCCCAAATATATCTATTACATAAAAATTCAGACAAGAAACACTAGGCACACAGGACATAAAACAACCGTTACAGAAATAACCTGAGGCAGAAAAATATCCCCATCTGAAGCCATGCAAAATCCCCTGAACAAAGATGTTTTGTAGTTTCCAAAATATCCTTGCAACCTTATATGAAATTCTCTAATCTAAACACATAATTGAAAAAGGTTGCAATAATATCTCACAAGAAAAAGCATGAAGGTTGCAAATTTTTTGAAAAGGTACTTCAGCATGCCTACAAACATAATGAGTCAGCTTATTGAGTATCCTAAGAGCCAGTTCTCTCCAAAGTCCAACATAGGAACAAAGTTGTTCCATTTTCCTCCTCAATTCAATCCAAACAAGAAGAGCTCACATTTTGCCATATATATGGGTGCTTCACAAGATATTTGTTTGATAAATGGAATGAATCTATAGAGTATCATTTGGAAATTAGTGGACCTAGATATTTTCCATCTCTCTTCTGGTCACACAGCTGTGAAATCTAATATATGCATGCAGATCAGCCTTTCTGTACCCAGACCTCTGTCACGGTATCTTTAACATGAGGACATTGCTTCTTTGGTGCCCATACAAATTGAAAGTCCTTTACTGCTACCTTGCCATCAAATTTAAATAATTCTTTAATTATTTCCAAAAAAAGGACGATATATCAAAGTCAAGGGCAAAAGCTACGCAAACAATTCTCATGTGGACTTTTTCAGCACATAAAATGCGGAAAACAAAATTCAATGTCAAATTCTACCTCAGGTTCATGGCGCCAAGCTTGGTATGCCATGTTTGAAGTGGAACGTTCCATCATACTTTGCCATGCCATCTGACCATCCTTCCCATCAAGAAGATGCAATAGGTGTTCTAGATCATTCCCTCCAACAATATCCTGATTTGCCTCTGAAATTCCAGTACTCTGCCTGCAAAAAAGGTGGAGCTATAAATGGAGTGGCTCAACAAATCAGAGATCACCATTTCTTAACTAGCCTGGTGAGAGTCAAATGCAATCACAGAAACGTTCTACAGCAACGAAAAATTCAATTCAACAATTGAAAGGAGGCATACATGCGTAAATGTTTATTCTAACACCAACATTTGTAAGTCCACAAAATCGTGCAAAGAGAACAGAGCAAATGGCCATGACAGGTTTATGTATGTTGAAATGATACCACACACTGTTCTTAGTTCTAAGCGAGATATTGCAATTAGTGCATTCCCCACACGAATAAAGCTATGCAATGAACAAAACTTTTCTAATTCTAACACCTAGACCTAGATTTATTATGTCTGTGCAGTGATTAATTAAGGCTGCTAGAAGAATTGATGCAGGACATTCAACAGTGAACATGACTTCCTAGTTGTTGCACAATGGATAACCTGATAAATGTTACATACCATACTTGACCACTGCCTGTTCTTAGTTCTAAGGCAAGATATTGCAATTAGTGTATTCCCCACACGAATAAAGCTATGCAATGACCAACACAACTTTTTCTAATTCGAACACCTAGACATTGATTTATTATGTCTGTGTTGTAATTAATGAAGGCTGCTAAAAGAATTGATGCAGGAAATTCAACAGTCGACATGCCTTCCTAGTTGTTGCACAATGAATAAACTGATAAACCTTACATACTGAACTTGGCATTAAAGAACAGGAGTAGCAAAATACATTTCATTGCCCGAAAAAAGTACCTATCCTATAGCCCTAAGCATTCGTCCCATCTCTTCAATCCCAGATTGAGATATCACCTAACTAGAGTTTGCCAGCCCATTGACACATCAGAATCTTCTTGGAACATTTATATTCTCTGATCACAAAAATAGAAGAAAAACCAACTTATCTTGGAACTTCTATTTTCAAACTGCACGAATTTTAAGGATTGTAATGGCCTCCTGCCTTTTTCAAGGGAAATGGTGTGTGTGCATCACCACTATGGAAGACTCAAAAGCCAGATGGTGAATGAGTACACCACCACCTCAAATAATGATATAAACAATCTCTCTCTCTCTCTCTCTCTC